AAGTTGGCGTATTGTGTTTTAACTAAAGGCATTGCTTTTCTTTCCGTTTCTTTCTAAAATGATTCCATAAGTTGAAATGACTACTCCTTATTATTTATATAGTTTATTTGACTTTTACGGCAGGCATTGTATTTTTGAGTATAATCTGAGCAATGTCACGTTTCTGGTATTTCTTAATACTATTATTATTATTATCTCATTGATTCATATTACTTTTTGGACACAATTTGAAGTCACGTATTGCTATAATGGTAGTTGAATCGATTTTCATCTCTCAATGGTAAACTTTCTCACCAGAGGTTTATCTCCCTCTCTCTCTCCCTACTCCTCCCTCCTCTCCTCCTACTCCCCAGTGTTGGCTACACCCATTGAGAATGATACTAAACAGTTTGTTAACTTAGTAAGCCATAAACACATTACTCATTTACAATCAACATATGAATTCACATTATATTTTCGATTTTCAAGTGTTGGTTTGTAGGGATTTGATTGGTTTCAGGATTTCATCATGAGCTGACATTAGTTAGAGAACCATTCGAAAACCTGGGAGTACTGAACAACCGTTTTGTCCTAGTTTGGGACTCTTCAGCAGTACGCCCCCACCGGGATTCGAACCTTGGACCTTCTGGTTACAAGACGAGTTCGTATACCATTAAGCCACTGGTTTTGTTAAATTTTCCTATGGAGAACTCTACGTAAAGTGTTTTTTTTTCGCTGATAACTTTCATTAACGGGTGTTTCAGGGAGTTACCCGACTTGTTTAGTAGGCTCATAATAACTCCAGTTTACAGACGGTAATGTAGCAATACAATATATACAATGTCAGCTCATGATGAAATCCTTCAACCAATCGAAGAAAAATCCCTACAAAAAACCAATACTTGAAAATTGATCTTATGCTTACTAACGACTGCCTCTATTCAGGCAGTGACCTGGAGTTCTAGTCGGAAGCCGTGACCAGTAGGCTACAGCAGGCTGAATGTGAGGCAGTAACTCATCGAAGAAGACATTGCAAAGTGATCGCGCTATGTCGTGAACTGGCAGGAGTTGGAATTCATTCATTGGCCATGGGATCTGGTCCCAGTGGCTGGATGGTCTACGAGCTCACTGGTGTTGTAACCAGAAGGTCGTGTGTTCAAACTCTGGTGGTGGGGACATGCTGTTGAAGAGTTTCAAACTAGGACGGAGGAGTGGTTCTCCAATTGATGTCAGTTCATGAAGAAATCCTCCAACCAATCGAACAAAATCCCTACAAAACCAATACTTTCCAATACAATATAGTTATGAATACCTATGCTTTAAAGGCTACAGTTACACTGAATAAAGAATGGTATTTCTCGCTAACTTAATAATTTCCGTTGTAAGTTTAAGAACACAATATTTAGCGAAGAGACTCTTTTCAATGAATTTATTATCAAGTTGTACAATCGTATGTATATATGGATTTCTTTGAGAAATTAGATCCGGTGAGGGAATTGAATTGAAGGTATGAACACATGAAATGATAATAATCGTATGAAATGCAATTAAAATATTTGTGATTATAATCATAGATGTCAAGTAGCAAAACAATTAATGCCATATATAAAACACTTCATAAGATGCATAGATTTTGGAAAGAGGTGTATAATTATGCGGTTAGTAGGGTAATATAAAACGTCACATAACATGTTGTAAAATGTGATAAGATAGAATTCAACATTTTAATTTTTTTAGATTTATAGTGACAAGTGGGGCAAGTGGAAACAATTCAAAGTGAGAATAGTTACAACACTAATAATAATCGTAGTAAGGAGAGAAAGGTACACAGAATAACTAAATAAATAACTGTCTGTCCGTCCACGGTCAAGGTAGAAGTAGGGATAGTACATACTTCTTTTGTTCATAAATGTTCGACTTAAATTCATGAATGGCCGAGGCCTCTGTTGTCTGTAGAATCTTGTGACGAATAAAACGCGGCAAGTTATCATGCATTCAGTAAAGGATCTTAAAATCATGTTGAGGGTTGGTAGAGTGATAGGAGTCGATCAGGTATTCTAAAACAGAGCTTCGCACACCCTTCTCTTCTCCTTTGTAAGAATCGTTCTGCTGGAATATGTTCTCGTATCAATATAGAAAGCTTTCTCTGGCTGCCGCCGATGTACCTTACTCCACAACAGCAGGCAAACTAATTGATGCACATGGAGGCGGTCAGATGAGGGAGCTTATCTCCCACAGCGATGGAGAACGCCATCGCTGCAAAGGACGTCTTACTGACTGATTTAGAGAGAAGATTTTTGAGCATATTCATGAGAATAAGATTTTCCTTAGAAGTCAGTTGGTGACCAGTTTGAACTGCTTATCATTTGTGTTTCTGTCAATCAGTCAGTTCGGGTGACCGAGTGAAGTTCAGTCTATTGTATTGTTGACTACTTATAAGGCATAGTTTCGTATATTTATCGTACAATTTTCAAAATTCTGACTATACTTCATTTAGCATTCTGTTCACAGAGAGTGCTTCCCTAACCGAAATACGATCAGTACACACAATACAGATGTCTTTCACCACCTTTTTGACGAACCTAAGCAAACTTAGAAGGTTATTTAAATTACAGTCTTTTGTTTTTCTTAAAAGGAAGTGAATTTGTTTTACTATTATTAGAGTTCCATTTTTACTCCACCCTTTCTTCAATGTTCTTCTGGTGGTGATAATAAGTTAGTCTATTTTTATCCTCATATTTATCTTTCCTGGTCATTGTGTATTCAGTGTATTCTTTGTTGACTGAGTAAAGAATGGCATATCTTATCTAGATGCAAACATATAGCTGCTTATTAAGTTATATATATGTATATATATTCTTAAGTATTAGTTTTATACGGATTTCGTTTGACTGGTTGTAGGATTTCATCATGAGCTGACATCAGTTAGAGAACCATTGGAAAACCAACATGGAGTTCTGTCAGACGACTGTTTCCTCCGTCCAAGTTTGAGACTCTTCATCAGCATACCCCCACCACCAGAGTTCGAACGCAGAACCTTCTGATTACAACACCAGCGAGCTTGTTGACCACTGAGGCACTGGTCTCCGATCCAATGGTCAGTGCATAATTTCCAACTCCTGCTAATTCATGACATAGCACAACCCTTTCGCAATGTCTTTTCCGATAGCAACTGTCCTCACATTCACCTTGCTGTTGTCTACTGGTCATGGCTTCCGATTAGAACTCCAGGGAACTGCCTGAATAGGGCCATCAGGTTTTCCAATGGTTCTCTAACTGATGCCATCTCATGATAGAATCCTCCAGTTAATACATATATATATTTTCCTTACTTTACGTCGGTAGTTCAGTGGCAGTATGCTCGCTAACCACGCATGTGGTAGGGGTTCGTTTCCCAGTACAGACATCACGAAATCTGCCCTAGCTGGCATTTAGCCTTGTTCGGAGGGGTGGCTGAGTGTGGGGCTAGCAGCTTTACCCCATAAAAAATGCAAACCCGCCTCTGAAACTTCAAACCTCATGTCTGATGCTCTTAATTCCACCAGGAACTCGTAGGAATAAAGTACAAAAGGAAGATATCGTTTCCTGAACTATTAGAATAAAATGTTTTGCATAATTTATGTTTTGGTTTTTTCAAGACGCGATGGGATAGAAGTCTTAATGAATGCTGACTCAGTGTTCAGTGCATCGAGGGGTGGGTGTTTCGCAATCTGAGTAGTTATATTTAGTTTAAAAAGTCACAAATGCATATATAAGCAAAGATTACAAACAACAGCTATTTTTAGAAAATGACTAATGATAAAATTGATTATCATTTTTCTTTGTTCATAATGGCTTTAAATGCATTCAGTATTATATACAGCACACCTGTCCAGATTGTTTGTGTTATTTATCTACATGAAATTGCTTGTTATTTTTTAAAATCTTGCTAACATCTTTCATGTAAAAAAGGTTTGTTGATTGTTCCATAAAGTAATTTAAGACACTGTATCAGACTTTTATGAAGTTTTTCTGTAGTACTGGTTGCTATTATTATATTTTGATTTGACACTAAGAACTAGTGTGGAGTGTCTAGTCCTTTGTTTGGTGCAGACTGAATTCCATCAGTCTGGTTTGCAATGTGGCCACCATTCTAGGTGACTCGCCATCACAGTGCACATTGATTAGATGGTATTAGATGGTTGAAGGCAATCAGCAGGAAGCCATGGACCTAGGTTTCGTGCTAGTTGGCACTCGTCAGTAAGACGTATCTGCATCCTTGAAGGAACTCATATCTCTTCTGAGATTCGAACCCGTGTCACCCAGTGCTGCACTCTAAGGCTTCCTATGGCCGATTGCCCCCAATCATCTAATATCATCAAATCAATGTGCACCGTGATGGTGAGCTACCTAGTGGCATAGTGGTCACATTACAAACCTAACTGATAGAATTCAGTCTGCACCAAACAAAGGACTAGACACGTCACACTGGTTAATCGTGTCCAATCAAAATACTCACTACAGTCCCACAGGAGGTCAATGGCGAACCCGAATAGCTCAGTGGTAGCATCTCTAACTGCAGCACTGGGTGGCGCAGGCTCGAATTTCTTAAGGGATATGAGTTCCTTCGAGGCTGCAGATGCGCCTTTTTGACTGGTGTGCCAACTAGCACGAAACCTAGTTGGAAGGCTTTCTGTTGATGGTCTCCAACCATCTAATATCATCAAGACGGATGGTGTTTACCATTTACTGATAAATAGTTTTGGTTTGTCATTAAGTCAACTACATCACTTGAAACTAGTTCACAAGTCACTCCACCAACTATGAATGGGGGGTATTTCTGCGTATCCGGTTGTATGCGCTTACGTTAACAAGCTACAGTTATGCATTTCTAAGTTAAACTTACTGCTGGTCGTTAACTATCACTTGACAAGGTTAGATTATATTCATAGAAGGGAGAACTGGTTGTTAACACAATTTTGGGCTCTGTTGTCTCACTTCCTTAACTTGTTTCTTTTTTTCTCTTGTTTTAAAAATTACAGTTCACTTTTACCAGCGGCTGCTGAATTAGAATATTTAAATGTGGCCCGTTACCTGGATCACTATGGTGTAAAAAGTCATGTAGTGAAAGTAAGTCGCACTGAAATTTGTTATTCATCTATCAGATAAACTTTTTCCGCATTTTGTAGATTTTATTTATGATCGTATATTAAGCATTATTCGGGTTATTTTTTATTTCTGTGGATCTAATATTCTTAGACTATGTCAGCTATGAAAGTGGGTAGAATACCTGAAGTGAAAACAAATTTTATCTTGTTTGAAACTGTTAGTCTACCAAAAAAGTAGAAATGAAATCAGTCCTTGGGTTCCGAGTAGAACAAAGAGCTTCAACAAAATATCTCCACTTTGTTCCATTTTCTTCTGGCCTCTACAGCTGGGTCCACGATTTACCATAATATCTCATCTCTCCCTCCCGAAACGACCTCTTTCATGTCACTCTTGCACTGATGACCAACTCTTGGCCATTCGATCTTCAATAAAGAGCGACGGCAGCTGTTGAGGAAAGTCTGGAATTTGTTGGAGACCCTTTCCGTGATGTACGTGCCAAGTTTCTGACCCATATAGAAAAACCCACTTCATATTTGTGTTGAAGGTCCGAATCTTGTTGTTTATGATGAGTGAGAGCTGAGGATTTCTAAACTAGTTTCAGGTTGATGAAGGTGTATCTTACCTCGCCGATTCTGTCTAGCTTTGATATCTTCATCTGTTCTGCCGGTTGTGATTAGAACAATGCTCACTGCCTAGATAAATGAAGGAAGTAACCTCTGTGAAACCTCTCCCGTTGATGTTGATTGGTGCTAGTTGTTGTTGCTCTCGCTGTTGGTTGGTTATCTTCATCACCTCTGTCTTCACCTTGTCTATGTTCACCTGGAGTCAGTCCTGTCTTCGCTGCCAGCCAGCCAGCCTCTTCTCCCAGTTTAATGGTTTTCGCTTACCTGCAAGTCTTCGAGTTTGTCTGACATTAAACAGAAGTCATCCACTTGCGAAATCTAGATTTTCTTACCGGTCCAGTGTATTTCCGTCTTCTCACTCCCCACGCATAGTCTGACATAAAATCCAGTCCACCACAATTAGAAATATAATCGTTGGTGATAATAAGCAGCCTTGTCTTACTCAGGTATTCACTTGAAAAGCTTCGTTGAGTTTTCTGTTATGGATGACCTGACACGTGGCATTGTCATATAGCCAACTGTTGACTGAAGTTGATACTCATTTGAGACACTTTACTCTGTAGTGTTGAAGTAGTTTACAATTTACTTCTCAGCCGACGCCATCGAAGGCGTTTTTGAAACTAATATTAGTTGAAGTAAAGGTTCGACTACCATTCCATGCTTTGTTCGATGATGATGATGATGAGTAGAGATGCAATTTGATCAGCACATGATTTGCCTTTCCTGAATCCAGCTAGCTTGTTTCGGGCTGGCGGAGTTTTGCATCCGGTGCATCTTTTACAGTCTCCAGAATGATGTTACTTAGTATTTTATTTGGCATGTAGTGGAGCATTACTCCACGGCTGTTGTTGCAGGGGCCTAAGTTACACTTATTTCGTAATTTGGCAAGGTAACTCTTCTTCAAGTCAGAAGTTACCTTTCCTTTCTTATAAACCTTTTGGAATAATAACGCGAGAACATCTGCCTAAGTCTCTGGGTCCATTTTCAGTGCTTCGGACAGGGAGAATTCTGTTTGATCCTACTGCCTTTCCGGAATTCATAGGCTTGATCTTAGGAGACGTGTTGACGATATATACATACACAAATGAATGATGCTGTTCTTTCTGAGATTCGAATTCATTGACCATTATTTCAAACAGCAAAAAATTTACCACCAGTCTACTGATTTGTTTGTCTGATATTCGTTTGAAATAACTCTACCAGACCCTAGTATGACTAAGAATTTTGACAAAACAATAATATACATAGTTTATGTTTTAAGCGAAACGTTATTCACGTCAGGTATTTGTTCAGAAGTACTCAACACATGTGTTCAGGTAATACTACTGAATAAAAACTGGGGAACCTCAGTAAAATTTTATTGAACAATAATTATCCGCTAAAGTATGTTGAACTCTAAGTATGTGTCAAACACACGACTCTACCAATGCATTTATCTTATCTGGTTGGTTCGTAAGGTTTATATTTGGTTTTCCGAGTTTGGCCACGGATCGATATCAGTTAGAGAATCATTGAAAACAAGCAGGGAGTACTGGACAGCTGTTTCTTCCGTCCTAGTTTGGGAATCGTTGACAGTAAGCTCCCACCACCAGGGTTCGAACCCAACATCTTCCATTTACATTCAGCCACTGGAAACTGATTCAATGGACATTTCCATGAATTATAACTTCTCCCAATTCGTGATCTCCCGCCAGTGACACTGGTTGGTAGTCGTGCTAAATCACGAAATGTTAGAATTTAGAATTTATGAGATGGCCATTGAGGAGTTGGCTCCCAGTGACTGAATGGTATACTAGCTAGCCTTTTAAGTGGAACATGCTTGGTCCGAACCCCGGTGGTGGGTGCGTATTGACGATGATTCGCAAACTAGGATGGAGGAAACAGTTGTCTGGCAGTACTCCCTGCTTGTTTTTATTGGTTCTTTAATTGATATCAACCCATAATCAACTCGTAAAAAGCATTCATCTTTGTCAAAGGATTTTTTTATGTAATTTAACTGTCTAATAAATAAAACTATTCAGGGTTGCCCTTTGTAGGATCTACTATGTATCCCGGCTCATTTTTTAAAGTGCCACTTAATAACCTTTTTCTGTAATATAAATACGACTGTGCAGCTTGAAAATGAAGTCGTTGAAAAGAAGTTTCTTCGCTGAACAAAAAAACTGTGTTTTAAAGAGGAAATGAAATTAATGATGTCCTGTAAACCCAGAGAACATTTAAACCATAATGTCATATTCCATATATGTTCATCAGTTTACGTGTATATTTGGTCACACGTACATAGACAGGACTAACCGATCTTCTCAATTTAGAGCTATAGAACACATTCCTAAGTGACTGAGAGATTACAGAAAATGTCATTGAACTCAAATGATCCTGGAAATAAGCGTCCAAAGATGTCGTCTATTGCAAAGAATATCGTCGAGACAGGTTATAAAGATGATTTTAATCTGTCTATCTGTTTTCGACAAAGAACTTTGAACTGATGTGCGTCAGTTCAAGTCACCACACTCCATGTAACACACAAAGCGAGAGAAGAAAGTAGAAGAAATGCATAATAGAGACAGTAAACAGAGGTGTGAGACAAAGAAATAGTGATAACGAAGAACAATTTAGTTTCATTGGAAATCATAAGTCACAAGGAGTGGATGCATTTGCGCCAGCCGTTGAGAACGATTTTTAGCCATATCAATAATTGTTTCTAACCATTGGTTTTTACCGTCCCGAGGACCCCAACCAGGAAGTCTACACCTTCCTACGTGACTTAAACTAACTGTTGTGGATTTCATTGACTGGTGCCATGTTTTGATTTGACCTCCGCTAGCTCATTTCCAGTGTGACCCTATGTCAGCTAACATTACCCTTCGAGGAAGGCGACGACTAGGCATATGTAACACATATCCTACCCATCTCAGTCGATGTAATTTCACAGCCTTGTCGATTGATTTCCCCTCCTTACCTAGAACTCGACGCCTAACCTCAATGTTGCTCACCTTATTATACTACTTCACATGGGAGATAGAGCACAGGCACCTATGATCGAAGACAGCTACTCTTTCCATGTCTTCCACTTTCAATGGCCGGTGTCACAGCCATAAAGGAGGACGGAGTGAAATGGTGAGCAGTTCACCCACCCTTTGGTCGATAGCCGGATATCACGTCTAAGCCAGAGACGGTGTAGACTAGCATATGCGAAACTAGCCCTCTGTATCCGTGATGAGGTTTCGTCAGAGATCAACCGGTTGGCACTGGCTGATGGTACTTCCCAAATAAGTGAAGCGGTCAATGTGCTCTACCATTTTTAATAATGCTTTTAAACTCATGCACAAAACAAGTCACAGCTTCTGTTCTATTCTCAGTGTTTACCAGAACACACATATCTCTCTGAGAATGACATCAAAATTTTGTATCAGATCTCCACATGGAATATATAAAAGACATTGAATCGGCATAGACTGGCTGCTGTTTTTTTAAATAGAGACCACACTTGAATAAAATTTATTTTATATTATCTAATAAAATTCAGGCTGAACAGTCATCAGTTACTCATTCAAAATGAGTAGTAATAATAACACATCGTGCTCATCAATTTTTTAGAAATAGATAAGCTTTAGTAGAGGTAGTATTCAGGAAGATAATAAGCATTCGTTAAGGCAGTGTACTTGAATCCCATTACCTGATTATTTTGACTGTATTATTATGAATTCCTAGGTGGGGTTCGAATTCCCCTGTAAACAGTAGGAATTGCGAATCATATTTTAAAGAATCAGTTTGTAGGGATTATATTTCTTTTAGGTTAGACCACGAATTGATAGGAGTTAGAGAACCATTGAAAACAAAGAGGGAGTACTGGACAGATGTTTCCTAAGTTCTGTTTTGGGACTCATCATCCACACGCAGCCTACAAACTAATTTCTGACCAGCTACAGGACGGAGTTTCCTGGAGTTCTAGTGAGAAGTCGTGACTAATCAGGTCCATCCAGTCGGGAAGTGAGGATGAATTTCCCGTCGTTGACGTTGGTTGGTGCCAGTCTCTCTAAATCACGAACTCGAAAAAGTTAGAATTTATGGGCTGGCCATTGAGACAGGTCCCATTGGTTGAATATTATACGAGCTTGACTTGTATCTGGAAGGTTTTGGATCCGAAACCCGGTGGGTAGGGGCGCTCTGACAATGAGCACCCAACTAGGATGAAACAGCTCTCCAGTAATCACTGGTTTCCGACGGTTCACCAACTGATATCAATCCGTGGTCTAACCTGGAATCATATTTTACTTAGACAAGCAACTGTATGATGGATTTTACGTATCAAGAAATATCTTGTATACCCATTGAATTCTGTGTGGTTACAAGCAATTCTGTGCTTTGGTGGCACAGAGGTAGAATAATAGAGAAGAT